GCCCAGATTTGTATCCCAAGCTCATTCTTTCTTATCTCTGTGATTACAAGTGAGTTCCTCCAGCTCTCTATGCCTTGGCCCCTATTACCTGAGCAGAGAATAGCAGTTCCCCGGGGAGCTGGGTAGGGCTTTAAATGTGTTCCTGCCCAGGGTGTGCACAGAAGAAGGCCAGCACGTAGTAAGTGCTCAGTAAACTTTAGCTGGTATGTTCTTTATGCAATTGAGTTATCAACCTCCTTGAAATTAACTGTGTTTCTCATAAAATATACTTAATATATAGAGTTCAGTGAAAAGAGAAGGAAAAACTGGAATAATAAAAACCCAAGTTTGGGGTTTTGTTTTTCTTTATAGTTTTTGTAGCTACTTGCTATTTGAATGAAATCCTTTCAGTATCTTCCTTTCACTTTAAGAACAGCTCCAATGGTTTCTACCGTTTTTACATCATTCAGGTGATGTTTAATCTTCAGAGGGAAGGCAGTCTTTGAAAATTTCAGTGTGTTTGGCTGTAGCTCTTATGGGATGGTGAGAGCACAGGGCTTGGTGTTGAAAGCCAGGGCTTGTCCCTTCCCCAGCCCGCCCGCTCGTTCACGGTGTGACTGTTTGGGTCTCTGAGCCTGTTTTCCTACCTGTGAGGTGGGAACATCCAAGGTGAAATCTCTTCCCCTTTTCAACAGACCTGTTCATGTTGTTGCTAATTCTCTCTCCCATAATCTTGTAACTCTTTCTAGCTTGTATGAAGGCGGATCACCTAGGACAGAGTAGTAACAGCTGCTTATGGTCCCCATGGGTAACATGCAAGATTCCGGCTGTGTATAGGCATGTCACATTATTAGCAATTATAATAGTAATATCATTTAGGATTCTATTTCTTTCAAGTTACAGAAAACTCTATTCAAACAGTCTTAACAAATGGGTGTTTATTGGTTCATGAAACTAAAAAGTCAGGTGTAGATTTTAGGCATGGCTCACTCAGGACTACCAAACGATGTTTCCAGGACCCAATTTCTTTTTATCTCTGAGCTCTCCTCTATTCTCAAGCTTTACGTGGTGAGGGGAAAAAAGGAACTACCAGTGGTAAAAATGGAAGTTCTAGTTCAAGGTCTAGCTTTCATTGGCCTGAATGAGGTCACATATTTAATTCTGAGCCACTAATGTTGCAAAGGGTGTATGGAGCTGTGTCCAAGCCTGGGCCATATGTACACTTTTCAATCCAGGTGGAGTCAACTCTAAACAAAGCATAAGGCCTGACAGTGACCAAAGACTGGTTTCTCCAAGGAAAATTTGAGCTCTGTTGTTAAAAGAAGTATGAATGGACTCTGGAAGGTAAATATCGCAGATGTAGAGTTACATGACACGAGCTAGCAAATGTCAGTTGAGTAAATCTGAGTATTTCTACCCTTGCTCTGTATGGCTCTTCAAATTGACCAGATGCCCTCATTGCAGAGGTGGACACAGCTCTGGGGGATTAACTGCCCACAGGTTAGATTAAGCCCATCTTCCCCTCTCCTTCCCTCAAGGCCTCATTCCTCCCTCTCTCATCTTTCTTGTGCTTCAGTCCTTGCCTCTTTTTCCCAGTTCACTGTATCCACTGCTTTTGATTCAGTGATGTCTTTAAACTCTTCTGACTTCTTTTTTTCATTTATTTTTATTTTTTGTTGAACTATACTTGATTTACAATGTTTCAGGTGTACAGCATAATGATTCAGTTGTGCACATATATATATTTTATATTCTTTTTCAGATTCTTTTCCATTATAGCTTATTGCAAGACATTGAATATAGTTGCCTATGCTGTACAATAGGTCTTTGGTGTTTATCTATTTTATATACAGTAGTATGTATCTGTTAATCCCAAATTCCTAAGTTATTTCTCCCCATCCCTTTCCCCTTTGATAACCGGAAGTTTTTCTGTTGTCTGTGAGTCTATTTCTGTTTTGTAAATATGTTCATTTATGTCATTTTTTTTTAGCTTCCACGTGTATGTGGTATCACATGATGTTTGTCTTTGTCTGACTTACTTCACTTAGTATGATCAACTTCGAATTTCTTGATCAGGGCTTTCTACTCAACTCTCAGTTTGACACCCTGCCCACTACCCTTAAATCTAGTGCTCCTGTACTTCAAGAAATACACATTCCTCCACTAGGTCAGGCCTCATCCTCTGCTAGACCAGCTCACACCACCCAGTTTAAACACCTGTGACAAACTCCTCTGGCACACTTTCCTGAGTCTATCAAAAATTCCCAAAAGACTAGCTGCTCTGCTGTTATACCATCTTCTAGTGTTCTAGGCTATGTACAAAATGGATGGCACTCAACCCCCTTCAGAAACATTTTGTAAAGAAAAGACACTTTCTATTTTTATATACACTAAATTATCTTTTTAGCCACCGTCCTCACTGTGAACACCCTCAGTCTTCTGATCAATCTTAGTGCATCTCTGTGATGATGCTTTCTCTTCTTTTCCTAAGACCCGTCCTCAAAGGTCCTTCAGAAGTCTGAAACCAGATCAGCCAGAACACAAATGAAGAACAGAATTGAGGGTTGTTTTTTTTTTTAAGGAGAGAGGTAGAATATTCCAGAGAAAAATCAAGTATTTCTTCACTTTTACTAGCCATACTTCAGTCTGATATTCAGGAAGAAAATCTAGAAAATATTTATTGTTCATAAATTATATTAATATTGTTATGTTTTAATAATATTCTGCAACTAGAGAAGAATCTCCTACTCAGTGAAGTAGTTGCTCTGGGCAGGAATCCCTGTGGAATTTTGAGGAAGGACCTGTTTGGTCAAATTACACTTGTGATGGATACATGGACATCATAGGATGATAGCCCTGCTACCTGTATTGTGTACTTTTGTGCCTTGGTCTTCCTTAAACAATACTTAACAAACCTTCAACACGTCAAATGGGCACTATTATGAAAAAATAATACTAAAAAAAAACCACTGAGCAATACCATCCTTACTCTCAAAGGGCTTACATTCTAAGTGAGAAAGTAAGATATTCAGGTAAAATGGTGTTGCAAGGGTCAAGACCCCCTTTTTCAGAATGGAAATAAAGGAAGGGGTGTTGTCAGGCTAAATCAGCCACTGCAGTCCCTGAACTTCATCCTTGGATATTTTCTTCCATTTTCTCTTGAGCTCTATATTTTATAATCTTTAGCATTTTTCCCATAAGCTTTTATCAAACATACAAGGCTTGGATGTGGCTTAGATCTTTCATCATAGTCCTCATCTCTAAATCAGGTGAATATCAAAATTATGTAAATCCTCCATAGCAACCAAATAGAAGATTATAATCAAGTAAGTATCCATATCTTATCATTAAATTGATAAGGGAATACAAAGAGCTTTGAAGCTGAATCCTGGAGCAGCTCCAGCTACAGAACATGACAGCTTTCGCAGAGAACCCAGACTACTGCTCCAAGTTAATTAATTTGTTCATTCACTTAACAAGCACCTACTTTGTGCCTGTCACTAGTCAAAGGATACAGTTGTGGGCAAAACAAAGTCCTTGCTCTTTTAGAGCTTACATCATATAAGGGGAGACAATAAATAAAATGGAAGTATAATAAAACATCAGATAATGTTGAAGGCTACGAAAGAAGAAAGTAATTTGAGGTGATACAAAGTGCTGATTGTCATATGTAGATAGAGTGGTCAAAATCTTTTAGAATGTAGCATTTGAGCAGATCTGCATAAAGTGACAAGAGTGACACATGACTGTCTCTGGGAAGAGTTACCACACCAAAAGAACAAAAATGTGACAATGTAGTTCAAAACTCATGAAAAATAACTATAATAATTATTGGATCCATGTTATAACTTGGCCAAATTATTTGACATAGAGACCAAGTTCTATTTTTTTAAAAATGTTTAGTTTTGAATTTTCCCAAGAATCAAGGCAAAAAATATTAGCCTCCATATACTTCTTGTTCAGTGCTGCTGAATCTTAAGGTTGCTTCTGCTAAAATCAAGTACTTCTCTAAGTGACCCATCTCATCTTTCCAGCAGCCTTAGAAGTTAGATGCGAGGACTCCCGTTTTACAGATCAGTAGATCAAGGCACACAGTGAAGCTAAGTAACTTGTCCAAGGTCCCTGGCCATGGAACCATGTAGTCTAATGACATGTAACTTCTGTTGCAAGTGGACTGCCATTTTTCCCCCTGAGAACTTACTGAGCAATTACTATGCTGTATCATGTTCCGAATACAAAAGATGTAGTAAGCACTATCCCCCCATCACAGTACTTGTAATCTACGTATAAGACAAAAGCAACTTCACCCCCCAAAAACTACCAAAGTAAGTGTGAGCTGGTGCAGTATGGACACGTGTGATGACGAAATGAAAAGTTATTTTAAAAAAAGTTAATTGGTGTTAATATGAGCTGAATATAAGCTTAAAATTTGAATCTAACCTTCCTTTTTGTTTTTTATGCCCCTGTTCACATAAGCAGTTGCAGAAACTGGGATGCTTAGCCTGGAGATGACAAGACTCAGGGGGGAGTTGATAACTGTCTTCAAATATTTGAAGAACTGTCATGTGGAAAAGAAATGAGATTTGTTCTAGAAGTCCCTAGTGGTGGAAGTAATAGAAGGAGTTCACCACAGTATAAGGAAGGACTTTGAAACCAAATAAAAACTCTAGAGCTCTCTAAAGACGGGACGGGCTGTTTGGGAGATGGAATACTCCGATCACGTAGGCAGGAGAGCCTCTTCAGTGACACCTGGCACAGGGCAATCAAGGCAAAGATGGGTGGATGGATTACATGAATTTTAAGATCTCTTCTGAGGCTGAGAGTTTATTCTTTCATCAGTGATAAATGAAATTTCCAGCAATACTGAGCTGCTTATAAAGTTCCTATCTCCATGAGAGAGTGTTTTCTGCTCTTAAAATTTTTGGATATCGCATCTACAACTCTGCATGTTACCTCTGGTGCTTAACTGATAATAAATAATCCTCTCAAGATGTACTCTATTTCTTGTTTGCTCTTTCTAGGTCTCCAGCCATACACCAACTACAGCTTCACACTTGCAGCTTGTACATCTGCTGGGTGCACATCGAGTGAGCCTTTTCTAGGTCAGACACTGCAGGCAGCCCCTCAAGGTAATTAAAAAATACCCCTGATCGGGGAGAAGTTTTCATACAGTATTTTGATGTGAGCTCTAAACTCTTTCATAACAAACGAGGAATAAAGTCTTAAAGGTCCAAAATAAAATAATATTCTAGGTTCCCATTTTTCAAGTTTGGTTAAACTATAAGCCTCCCAAGGCAGTTTGCTTTCAATTCCTTAAAGTTTTACATGTGGTTTCCCATGGAAAAAAAAATTATTATATACTTGGATCTGAAATTCCTCAAAAAATTTTAAATACTTTCAGGGCAGCTAAAATATAACAAGCACCATGCTCCCTGCTGAAGCTGATTAAAATATTCACTGTCCTGAAGAACTTTCCATCAAGCAGAAGTGATAAGACAAGTTACCAAGTCGATATGAAGAGAGAGAATCTTAAAAATGATGTTAGGGAAGGGCAAATGAACAGAATGCTCAGGTTGCTCTAAGGAGGGAGTCCATCATGGACATCAAGAAAGATTTTATGGAGCAGATGACTTCTGAGATGGACCACGAGGAATGAGGATTTTTGAAATGAACAGTGGGAGGAGATATACCATCAAACACAGCTTGAGGGCATGTAAAGTGGGACCATCACCTTGGAAGGCAAATTGGCAACATCTGCTGAATTTAACACGTTGATTACCCATGACATGGTTTCTCTTTCTGCGTGTATCCCAGAAAGTAACCCTTCCACAACTGCACAAGGAGGCATGTATCCGGATGCTTCTTGAAACATTGTTTTGTTGTTTCTTTAATGGCAAAATACTGGAAGCAATCTAAATGTCTATGAGTGGAGGAACAACTAAATAAATTTAGGTATATTTACACTATGGAATTCCATGCATCCATTGAAAGGAATGAGGAGATCTGTACATATAAAGTAGAAGTTACAGAACTACGTTGATGGATGGCATTTTACATATAAAAAACACATAGGAAGTGATATTCATTTCTATAGATAAATAAACTAATGCATAGGAAAGATTCTGGAAGCATACACACCCAATTGATAACACTAGTTACCCGTCAGTTGGAAACTGGGATGGGTAGTTATCATTCACTTTTAGGAGAAAAATATGCTCAGAAGCTTGCTAGTGATCAACTAATTATTTTGTTAATCTTTATTACCTGCCTGTTTTCTGTGTTTGGAAACAGAGGCTTAAATAAGTTTCTGAACGGAAATATAATGTTAATTAAGATCGGAGCGTCCTGGACTGCTTGTCCATTACTCTTCTAATGAAGGGGGTTGTTGTACCTCAGAATATTAGACCTGAACTTCCTACCAGTAAATGGGGAATAAAATGGAAAATTCCACATATGGGGCATATGGCTCCTCACCAGGAATTCACTAATGATGTTTTCTATATAAAGAATGTTTCATGTCAAAAAGCTTAGTGTTCCTTTGAAAGGAAGAAACCAGCAGTAGATTTTTTGGAAAGGTAAACTATCAAATGGATACTTTGATGATAATGGATAATTTCTAAAGGATCTATCAACCGGTTTTGGCTGAAACTCAAGCCGGATAAAGTAACAGGGTCTCTCCAGTTTACTCATCCAATCCATGTATTTAAATTCTTAGAAAATATGCCTCTATAGTCTCACTTTTTCCAAAAACAGTATTTCTTAAAAGAGTTCAGATTTCACGACTTAAAAATTATAGCTTTCAACAATGCAGGGGAGAGTGAGATGAGAAATGTTTTACTTGATTTCTTTTTTTAACTTTATGCACCTTTCCTTTAACACAAATAACTGTGCAAAGAAACAGTAAACTAAATGGGCTTTCCACGGCAGAACAGACGTGGATTTAGAATCCATTTTCTGGCTGTGTAAGTGCCAATTGTGAATAACTTGTTTGAGGAATAAATGGAGCCTGAGTGCTTAACTTGGGGGTTGTAAGGGGACAAACTGGCAGTAACACTAAGTTCTATTGTTTTGCTGAAGTGGAAATAAACATATTATATCATTTTAAATTAATAACCCAAATATAACTAATTTTAAAAGGCCTAGCTGAGTGAATTAGACAGTTTGAAGGTGGAGAGAATTCAGAGAAGCATTTGTTCATTGCCACCCTGAGCTCTTCTCATTTATTTCATTTTCAGTAGGGAAAAAAAAGAAAGCTAAAGCCGATTACAACCTCACTGATAAGTTAAAGCTGATTGTCTGCAATTTTATCCCCCTGGAGCATGTTGCACCCATAGCCAAACAGTGGGAAGAGCTTGAACTGGGTTATTGCTCTTTTCAGAATTACCACCAGGCCAGGACGCTCTCAATCATTCCTTTTAGAATTCAGTCATGCAAAATTGCAGCCATGCTTTCCTGCAGCGTTGATCATGTGAAAAAAAGCTGCAGGAAAAGGCCAGTCTTCCTCAGGTTCCCCATCTTCTGCCCTGCTTCTAACTGCTGCTGTTCCTTCAGACTCTTCCTCTGCTCCTTGCCCTCGTAACTCCACAGTCTCCCGTGGAATTCTCCACCGCTGGCTGGAATTCCTCACGAAGGCTGAGCGCACCCAAATTCTAGAGCTTTCCCAAAGGCTACACTCAGATTTAAGGCCAGTGTATCTACCAGTCTGCTAGTTGTTTATATGTAGGTGTTTTACCAATACCTCAGCCTCCGTATTTCAGCACCGAAGACCTCCCTCCCGCTCCCTAACTCACTCTTCTTCTCTTTCCCTCTCTCAAGTACCATCATCCATTTAATCATGTAAACCCCTGAAGTAGCATTCTTAATGCTTCTCTTTTCCTTAGTTGATAGTATGAAATGTTCATAAAATTTTATTAGTTTTAAATCCTAAGGATTTTTAAAACTGTGTTCTTTCTTTCCATCCCTTCTGGTATTAGTTCAGATGCCTGTAATTTCTCCTGATTCTCCTAACTAGCCTCCCTGCCTCTCGCCATTTCTCCTCTTTCTCATACCCCCATCCCGATTCTTCATCGCCTTTTGCCAGAATAGTCGTATCTCACATTCGTCATCCTCACAAATCGCATTTCCTTCCAGGAGGAAAAAAAAGTCACATCTTCTTAGAAAAGCAAAGTAGACCCCCCCGAGTCTTAACTTCTGCCAGTCTGTCAGGCCTTTTGGTCTTTCCCACATGCCGTGTAATGCAGTCACGCCGAGGTCCTTGTACTTCTACCACACTTTCCTTATCTCTGGGACTTCATGTGGGATTCCCTCAGCCTGAATGCCCTTCCCTACACCCTCACTCAGTTAGCTCTCATGGTTTTCAAAATTTGGCCCAGATGTCTCCCATTCTGAAAATCGCAGATCCCCTCCCCTTCCCATCCATTCCCGTCTCACTCGCAGCCTGTGTTGGGTACCCTTCCTAAGTGCTCCAATAACGCACTCTGTTTCCTTTTCTTAAAGCATTTATCAAGCTGGGCTGTAAGTTGTTATTTACCCATTTTTATTGACCGTGATACCATAGGTTCCTTGAAGGGTAAAGACTATATGTCTTTATCCCCCCACCCACAGTGCCCAACACAGAAAAATGACAAAATTGGGTAGAACATTGAATCAACAAATTAACAAATAATCAATAGTCCAGAAATCAATGCATTCCTGACATCAGCCAATACAAAACTGGTTCCCTTCACTAGCTTTCAAGGGAAAGCCAATCCACAAAAACATGTTGCAATTTTTGACTTGGAATAAAGATTTGTAGGGACATGAAAAGTGGGGAATAATGCGTGGCACTGAAGACAAAGTTAAAACAAATCCAGTGAACGTGTTCTTTTTTTTTTTGTAGCTATTATGTCAAGGGACCAACCAAAGTTTGCTTCTGACCGTTCCCTGTTGTACCTCTCAGCTAGTGTACATGCTCCCCGCCCCACTTCTAGATGATTTCGCTCATGACCGTCCATCTCCTTCCCTTGAGCTGCCTCAGTTCTGCCCTTTCATTATGTAGAATAGGTTTTCTGATGCCACCTGAGGCTCAGGCTCAGAGAAGGAGGTAGATTCTTCACTTGGAACTTATTAGGACATCTCACCAAAGGTAGTCTTATTCTGTCGAAGATTTTTTTGCAGCTTCCAAGATAACAGTGTCTCTATATCATTTTGCAAGTAAGCACTGATGAATTTTTAGACATTCCAGTTTCATCTTACAAATCAAACGAATGGGCACAAGTTCATTAACAACATGAACAGAGCTTTCACAAGCTTATATAAATATAAAACTCAACTTTTATTTAGAACATAAGGCAACCCCAAAATGTTGCTTCATTTTATTTCATTAATGCCTCTGTATCCACAGGCTGCATTGACTGATTCAAAATGGAAGCTAAGCCATAGCCTTTGTAGCACCTTGGTGGTTTTTAATACATCCTTCAAGGTGAGAAAGACAAGACTGCAGGACTAAAGCTTTATGCTTTATCTCTTAAATCAACAAATTAATATCATGTTTAAATCAGACCTCTAATCAGTTGAGTCATGGAGCAGTTGTTGGCAGAGAGATCCAGGCATAAAACGTATACTATGATTTGTGGATTTGTCCAAGTACCTAACATAGAGTGAACTTTCAGAACAAAATGAACTATTTTCTTTCTTCTCGGGAGTAAATTATTCTTAGAAAATCATTAAGTCTGAGCTATTTTTAAATCTATCGTGCCTCTTTCAGAATGTTACTCAATAAATTGCATTTGAATGTCCTGAAATTTTTTCATATAAAATTGTTGACATCTTACCCTTACTGAGTAACTTACACAGGAGATACAACCAACCAAAAACTATTGATTATGGGGAACCTCATATTGAAATGAGGTGTTAAAAGCTGAAAAAGAGAGTTACAGTGTCTGTTCAGAGCATGGCCAGAGGACAATGTATAAGATGGTAGGATTGATCTTTCTCATTGCTGGGTTCTCCATCAGTGTATCTGTACATCTGTGAGAGGACTTGAATGTTTGCCCCTGAATTACAGTTGTTTGCGTGTACATTTTTCCTTTTATACAGAGGGTATAAGCTCCTTGTAAGAATGAGCCATGTCTTAGTTACATTTGGATTCCATAGAGTACTTAACATAGTAGTTTGCAGGATACATATTTACAATAAATTTATTCATTCAGTATTTATTAGGCATTGTGCTATCCATAAAGATACGTTGACTAATAACACAGAGTAAACCCCTGCCCTCATGGAGCTAACTTTGTATTAAAGCAGGAGAAAGAAGTAGACCACACAGTCGTAACATAAAAATAATGATGCTGTCAAAGAAAGATGTTATGATGTTATGAGGAAATAGAAAAGGGCGTATGATTGAGAGGAACTAGGTTGAGATCACTTAAGACTGGGTGAAAGTTGTAGTTCAGGAAGGGTGGTTAAACAAGACCTTCCTAAGAAGGTGATATTTACACAGATCACTGAGCTAGGATGCCATGGTGTCAGAAACAAAAGTGTTCTAGGCAGGGGGATGGAAGTGCAAAAGCTGAGCTGGAAAAGAACTTGAAGCATTCTGATGCTGGAAAGGAGTCTGATGTGGCTGGAGCTTTGTCAATGATGGAGAGAAAGGTGCCAGGTAGACCAGAGCCAGAAAAATGTAGGACCATATATAGGTTATCATAAGGAACTGGGAGTCTACTGTATGGATAATTTCAAAAGGGTTGTATATTTTGTGAAGATTATACTGGCTTACATATATACTTTATATGCTTTTGTAAAGTTTACAATGAAATAGAGGTTTAAAGATTTAAAATATGGACACTAGTTCAGAGGCCATCACAGGAGTTTGTGAGCAAGAGACGCAGTTTGGATCAGGAGAGGTGAAGATACGCAGCCCGCGTATGGTAGGGTACACTTAGGGGTGAGAGGAGCAAGCGCCTCACGGGTAATGTGTGTGTGTGTGTTTCGCCCAAGAAAACGAACAGCTGGGTAAGACTGAGAGACAAACAGATTACAGACCAGAAAACCCAGAGTTCTGTTTTGGACATCTGAAGTTTTTGATGTGTAATTATTCATCCAAATGGCAGTAGACAAGCCGAGAGCGGGACGCGTGCGTCTGAAGCTCAGGAGAGAGGTTTAGTATAGAGATATGCATTGGGCAGTGTTCAACGTATAGACAATGTTTAAAAGAGACTACATGGGGATCACCTACAAGAGAGTGTTGGAAAAGGAGAGGAGACGAAAGGGTAAGAGGGAAGAGGCGGGAGATGAGAGAGCCTAGTTCTCCGAGGCACGACGTCATTTTGATGTCCAGGAAGGGAAGCGAAGCCAGGAAATGAGGCTGGGAGGAGTAGCCAGAGAGAAAGGTTAAGAGGAACCACAGCAGCAGGTGTCCGAGAGGCAGAGGCAAAGTGTGCTTGTCCGTTGAACTTGAGAATTCAGACAAAGGCTAGATTATGATATGATTCCAAGTAAATGGGCATCAAAGTTGAACATCCCTGGAGAGTCTCCCAGGCCTTGATTGCACTCAGAGTAGCAGTCAAGATAGAGAAATTATCCACCACTCACCTGACATTCACTCTCTAAAGGCAATTCAAAAAAAAAATAGTAATAATTAAAATATTTGAAAAATACATTTATACCCAATTCTGTATTTCACCTCCAAAGCAAATAAATGTTCTTTGCTGCTCACCAGGAGGTTTTTTTTTTTAATCAATAGATAAAAATACCATAGTATGTGAGATGATGGTGTGACTTTTGATAAGGTATTTATTTAACCCTAACAGTAAAACTTCATTGTGTTGTTTCTGCCAGGAGTTTGGGTGACACCTCGACATGTTATAATCAATCCTACAACAGTGGAATTATATTGGAGTCCGCCAGAAAAGCCCAATGGTCTCATTTCTCAGTATCAGTTGAGTCGTAACGGAACCTTGGTTTTCCTGGGTGGCAGTGAGGAGCAGAATTTCACGGATAAAAACCTGGAGCCCAACAGCAGGTGAACTAAAAGAAAACTTACCAGTCATATAGTGAGAATTTTTAGATTTTTCAGGGTTGAGAGAGAGTCCATCTCCAAATGAAACAATATTATTTGGTCATTTAATCTCCTCATTAGCCATTCCATAGATAATGAGATCACTTAAAGATGCTGAAGACCCAAGTGCTAGCTCATTATATAGTCTTCAGAAGACAAGAAATTCCTTAGAAATGTAAATAATCTATCTGACATAAGAATGTTTAAGTATATAAAATACATAAAGCATTACAGTTTTTGAATTATCAAACTATCTTCAAAAGCATGCATCCCTAAATCAGCAAGAAAAGAGATTCAAAGAGGTTTGTTATACATCAATGACCTTTTCTTCTGTTACAATGTTTTCTCTGCTTGCTACACTATATAGAGACATGAGTGGTTTAAGGGGAAAAAGTTCCACATATTTGCAATTCATTACCATTCATTACTCAGCAGAGATAAAATATATCTTAGATCAACAGATGTTTTATTGCAGAGAGTAGAGATCAATTTAGTTTTATTGTAGAGAGTAGCAGATCAATTTAGAAACATCTTTCTCTAAACATATTTCCCTGAACTCTAACCCATTTAAAAATGGAGACGATTAATTTGAATCCTCCACAAGCCACCAACACGCTTCAAGACTTTTCTGAAATCTTGAAGAAAAGCAATGAATTATTCGAGGGTTAAAAATAAAATGGGAGAGGGGCAGAAATAGTGATGGCCCGGCGAGCATGTTCTCTGTGCTAGAAAAACTACAGGTCTATGGTAAATTTCTGGACAAGGAGCAAAGAATTTGCAACTTGTCACAAATTTAGGACCAAGCAATAGGGGGAAAAGCCATCAATCATTGTTCACTTCTCCTGTGCATTGCCTTAGCACAATTCTGTCTTCTTTTTAATTTGTTATTTTGTATTTTTATTTTTATTTATTTTTTATTGAAGTATAGTCAATTTACAATGTTGTGTTAGTTTCTGGTGTACAGCATAGTGGTTCAATTATATGTAGAGAGAGAAATATATTTTTTCCTTTTCATATTCTTTTTCATTATAGGCTATTACAAGGTATTGACTATAGTTCCCTGTGTTACTTTTTTGATATAGATACATTTATAAGTTGGAAGCCACAACTGGAGGTGGCAGCAGTGCTAGTGATGGGTACATTGTTCATACACCTATGTGGACACCAGAAGAAATCCAGCCTCCGTATAATGTCACAGCAGTTGGGCCTTATTCCATATTTGTAGCTTGGACCCCACCAGGTAAAGAAAGAAAACCTCTGTGTGTGTGTGTGTGTGTGTGTGTGTGTGTGTGTGTGTGTGTGTGTGTGTTGTGTGTCTGTGTGTGTATGTAAAATATTTTAGAGGAAATTAATTGAATATAAGGATGGAAATGTGAATTTAGTGAATCAGAGAGACATAATCTGTCTCCTGGATAAATATAAACAGAATAAACCAAACCACATTTATTACAGCCTTATGGATACATATAGATGTAGGTATTTAGACAAAGATATATAGATACATAGATACATACTTTTCTATCAAAGCAATACTTTCTTTCAAGCACCTGAGCCTAAAATCTCTCTTCTTATTCGTATACATCCAAGGTAAGTCACAAAAGTCTGAGTTACCTTGAACATTCATTTCTAGATTGAATTGTTGGCACTGCACTACATGGTGTGACTTTTGATGAGGTATCAACAAGGTTCCCCAGACTGAATCTTTGACACTGTATTACAGAGTGGGGAGTTGAGAAAGATAATAGACCACTCCGTCCGTGTGCCTTGAGTTGTGACCAGTATAGTAGCTGAGTTTTGCCTAAGTTGTATCAGCTCCATCAAACCATTTAGTCACTAATGGATGGCTTTTGTGGCTTAGTGAATTTTTAAACTTTGAAAATAATAATCATTCTCCGGTAAAATTCTGATTGCAGTAACACTGTGGATTAAGAATTAGAGTAAAATTTGCATGCTCTGTCTTTTAACCTAAGGAAATAAGAAGGTTTTGTTCAGCAAAATCGAAAACTGATTAAGGTTGTTAAATGCACTCCAAAGGTATATGATTTTATTCTTAATATCTAGTCTTAACATGGCATTGAAACATGAAATTAAAACAAACTCCTGATGCCCCCATAAGAATAAATTTAGCCATATTTTGACATGGAATTGAAAATAATAAGGTAATAGCCATTTTGGCTTTCAGCAGATCCATTCCACAAAATAAATAACAAAGACTTATTATTCATTGAATTGAACACTTACGTCAGTCAAAACTGGTAGTATAATCATAAAGATAACATAAAGGCTGAATGTATAAAACTTAAATTCTCATTAACCAACATCTTTCTGATGTCATAATCTAAGACAAAGGTGTCTTTTTGGTCAGATTCACAGGAGAAAAATCTCTCATGAGCTTTATGAGCAAAGAAAAACTTAAGTTGCTCTATGATATTAAATATAAATGATTCTACCCACCTTTGTCTTAAAATGAATATGCAATAATATTAAATTAAACAAAATATGAAAGATAATCAGTAGTGCCAGAATATGTCATGAACAGCTATAATCCTTGCCTCAGTTTTAGAAGCATGGATATTCTTGGACTCTGCTCTTAATTTCAGTGGAGGAAAACACAAATCTCCTGCTGCGGAAAATACACAAACTTACATATCCTTTCATGGAATTGATTTCTACCTTCATGGAGTAGAATTGCTATCTTGCAACCTTTTAGCATATTTCTCCTTGGCATTTTTATAGTGCTGTGGTGTTTTTACACCACAAAGCAGAATGAGGCAGAACGGAGCCAGCCTGAGACCAGATTCAGCCTGTTGGCTGGACACTTCTCAGATTCGGTCCCAAATCTTCCACCATCCAGATTCTCAAAGAACAGTAAAGGCAGTTGATCCAGGGTGATAAGCAATGTTGATGATTTCCTAGCAAAGTGACTAGGAAGTTCCATGGCTTATCAAATTACCTGTCATTTTCATATTATTACACATATAAATTGCCATTGCTACTCTGAAGGCTTCACACCTGGTAAGGATTTGAAAACATCCTTCTTTTAAGACAACCAAAATAAGATGAATGAGAAAACCAGGCCCACTGATGCCACCTATTTGCTGACATTAAATAAGTCAATGTTTCTGAATCTCAGTTATCCCCTTCTGTAAAATGGACATAATGCCAATACCTACAAGCAAGGGTTGTTGTAAAGATTAAGTGAGATAGTTTTTATTATTATATAATTGGCATACATTGCCTGGTCTGTATAATATTCTCTAGATAGTGGTTATTTTCAGATAACTATTTTTACCTTTAATTATTCATTTTAAAAATGTATTTGCTCCAACATTTGCTAGGTCCCAAGGCCCCCACTTTCAAAATGATAAAACTGCATATGTTAGGGTTAAGTTTATAAATTTTTAAAACTTCTTTCAAATTTCCCAGAATTGTCATTTTTTCCTTTGAGTTCAGCATCATATTTTCATGTTCAATGTATGTTTTTATTTAGAAAAAAAATTATAGTGAAATAAAGCATAAGTTTTGCTCTTTTAATGTAACCTTAACTCTTGTCTACCTCAGGCTTTGTAGAAATTGTTCATTCTAGTCCAGCCTAAAGGATATTGTAGAAATGCTTTACACACTAACTCTGACCATGTAACCAATGGTTAATAAATCTATAATATCCAGACCTGTCAATCTTTTAGTTTCAGATGCACAAAATCCATTACAGAAACCCTGTAATATATGGAAAGATTAAAATCTTAAATTAAACGTTTTTCCTGGTGCCTAGAAGGATTTTGAAGTCAGTAAACAGGCAGGTGATTTTGACTTGTACATAATCTACAGTTGATTTTACTGGAAAGTACCTCATGCTGTGTTTTGATTTGGATAATAAAAACATTTTTCTGCTCCTGAATAGTTACAAATATATATTTTAAGCTAGAAGAAAACAAACTTGCTGTAACTGGAGGTTGTTTATTTGCTCACAATCAAGAGCTTTCTAGGTATTCCTTATCCTGCCCTGACATCACAAAATGATTACATCACACGGAAAGCTGAAAAATTGGCAAAACAGTATGGACTGTAATTCCCCAACCTGAGTGAGCATTAGAATCAGCTAGAAAGCTTATGCAAAGACAGATTCTCAGCCCCAAGTTTACAGAATAAGAATGTCCTGGGATGTAGTCAAGTTCCCCAGGTGTCTTTGATGAGTTCTGAGTTTAGTAACCATGTCTCCCCCCATGCCAAGCAAACGTGGTCAGTGACAATAAATCTCTGAAAACGTGAATCAAACCGGTTTCCCTGGAATGTCCAAAGCCAAAATAGTGGTTAGATGAACTGATTTTTTTCACATGTATTCTGTCCTGTGGTCAGTATGGACAGAGTGACCTTACACAGGTAAGTTGCTGGAAGAAAAAAATCCATGTGGTTGCTTGGCAACAGGAAATGACCTAGACAATTAAATGAGCTTTCAGTTTACACATTCGTATTTCAATGCTATCTATACATTGTCTTATTACATGTTTCTAAATCCTATTAGTAAAAGGGCTGAGGTCCAGAGAATATATGAGAATATTCAGGGGAAGAGAAATTGTAATACTGATGGCAAATATCATATATATGCATTAATATTACTTGCTTATATTTGCCATTTGTTAAATTCCTAGTATATGCCTAATGCTTTGATAAGCACTTTCCCTGCCTTACCTCAGTTGATTCTCATGCAAAGCCTGGCAGACAAGTAGTATCATGATCAAAGTATTAAGATGAGAAACTTGAATCTCAAAGATGTAATATGATGTACTCCAAGTCACACAGCAGAGGCAGAATTCAAATTCAGATCTGCTCTCTATGACTGCCTTATGGGAGCAGTTCCTTCCTATCTTTGACTTAACTCTTAAATCCAAATCATACTTTCCATTTGTGGTCCAAAGTCCTTCAGATTTATGGTATAGCAACTGGATGTTTTGAAATAGTACCCCAGAGGGCCGAGAAGCAGAGCTAGGTGTTGGAGAAAACCAAATGATTTGAGGAGAAAAATGTTTCTTGCAGAATTAATTGTGAAAAATGGTGAGCCTTGGAAGAGAAGATCTCCATCTGGCAATAGTTATCTCCCACACCGTGAAGAAACTAGTCACCAGAAGCCTTACCTACCCATCCAGAAGTGCATAAGGAATATACATGACTTAGCAAAACATGGTTCCAGGTCTAGAAAGATTTTAATTAGGCGGGAGAGGGAAAGAGTCGTTTCTCAATTAACTACAAAGCGGTTATTCACAGATTATTTTAATGCCTTGGTAGGCATTCTCTTAACCTCCCAGGTAAATCCTGGTTCACTTTATCTCATTATTTAACCAATAGTAGTCGTAAGATTATCAAAAGACTCCAAACTCTAGAAAATCAATCCACTCTTTTGTATATTATTTGTACCGTCAAATCAGATGGTATACAAACAGCATATCCTTATAAAATGTTTGCTAGATTAATGAAGAAACAAAATGTTGAGAAAGGTTCTAAAATTTGCCATTCAGGCAAATATAAATAAATTTTAGATGTTCTGCTGTTTAAAATTATTCAAACACTTGATTTCGTATAGAAGCCCACATTCAGTGGGTGCTGTCTATACGCTGGCCATTCTTGTTTGAATCTATAGACAAAATAAACCAGATTAGTGTATTCCTAAACATTTCTTCTCACCTTTTGCCAGCTCTGAACTTTGGGTCACAATGTACACATTCGTATTAAAAAGAAAAAAGGATATATGTGACCTCAATAGGTGAAAAAATTATAGAAAATGAAGAAGCAAATGTTTCATGGGACATGAATCATTTACTTAGATTAAGAATGGAGCTAGGTATCCCTGCGCTTTCAGAGTCCAAACATTCAACATTATTTAAACTTTCAAGGTAATAAAGGGATGGTCTAATTTATGAAGGTGATGACTATATTTTGAACTATCCTAGCCTTTAATCATGGTCTAATTAACAATGTCGTTAGATTCAACACCTGCTTTTTCACACTAAGGATGGTGAGTTATCTAGGCTTAATGCATAATATTGAAATAGTGGTGCTTTTCCTTTCACATTTATCTCTCAGTCCATTAAAGAAAAGAATTGGCAACAGTTCTTCTACTGAGAAATCATTTAAATTAATATTGCTTAGGAATAGAAATGATTTTTATTAATCAAGTTTTGATTAAAGGGTAGCTAGGCACAATATGGCCTGTCTGTAGACATGAGGCGTCTTGGCGGTCGCTGA